TATTTGAACATTATCGTCAAATAATAGCTACCTGAGTTCTTGTTTTTAATCATAATGGAAGAATTCAACGTATATCCTTTGTTGTGGTGCTGGTGGTAGTGGCGGCGGCGGTGGTATTGATGGTGGAGACGAAAACAAGGTAATGGTTAAGGGACTGATTTATTGGAACCGGAATAGACTGAAGTCAAGTTGGGAAAGTCTTCTTCCTATCGCATCTTCTAAATGGTAATTCGCATGCGATTGTTGTGCCGTGAAGGTTTAGTCTCACGCCCATACTGTTTGGCCTATTGCCGTTGATGCAGGTGGAGAGAAAAGGCAGGATTCAGAAGGCTCACGAGAAGAAGGGAAGTCGATCACTGCAAGTGGGTGTCAACTAGGCTAAAGTCTCGGATTCACATGCGAATCTGTCATCAAATGCAGGAATAGAAAAAGGTAACGTACATACGAAGAGCGTGACATTTACTTGCGCATTCAAACATTTAACATAATTTGCATCTCCCTCACTGATCGCCGCTTTTCGATATTGGTGTGATGGTAATTTGGTAAGATCGCAGTTGGTAGTCAGACATTATACGTTGATACTGTCGACTCACTTACTTGTTTTCAGTAGGTGTGCTTACCTTGTCTAGGGAACTTGTTATCAGTAGGTGTGCTTCTACCGAGTTAGGCAGATCGACCGTTTCGGTCAGGCTCTTGGGTTTTAGTCAGGGTTAGGTTTAGGTTAAGTTTTAGGATTAGGACTTGCATTTAAGGGTCAGGTTTCAGTGTTAGGGTTAGGGTTATGGTTTCCGATTACGGTTTGGCTTTAGGGCTGGGGTTCGGCTTTGGGATCAAGGTTATGATTTTCTTGGTAAGGGTTAGAACATTTGGCTTCCGTTTAATGGGTTGAGGTTATGATTAGGGTTCACGTTTACGATCTTCCGATTTTCGGGTTAGGGCTAGGAATTCAGTGTAAGGTTTCCGGGTTAAGGTTGGAATTTACGGTTAGGTTTCAGTATAACGGTTGCTATTAGGTTTTAGAGTTAGGGCTATGTTTACAGACTGCGGTTAAGGTTCCCGTTAGGGTTCCGGTTAAGGTTAGGGTCGGGGTTAAGTTTAAGGTTAGGGGTTAGGTTTAACGTTAGGATTAGGCTAAGGTCTATGGCTAGAGTTTGGGTTAGAGTTGGGTTTTTTGATTTCGGCTACGTTTCGCTTACACAGTCCTGGCTACCAACTGCGATCTAACCGGTATTATTTCCATCTGTGTCGCGCAACGCGTCACCTGCCGCGGTGATTATGATTCGTGGGATAATTATTCTGCAGTATGACTGTCTATTATTGTCACTTGAATCGGGTCTCATCCGTGCGTTCTCCGAGTCAATCGTTATCCCACCTAGGCAGTCTTAGTACCGAGTAGGACGCGGGGAGGTCGTAGCTGTTGCGACCCAGCCTGGTACTTGAAACCACGTGGAGCGAATGCGCATTCAACGCTTGTCCCCAATACTAAAGTGGCAGAGAAGGTGAACACGACCGACCATGAAAAAGTGTATTAGCAACTGAAAGTCAAGACTAACTGGAAGCAACACGTATTTATAACATCCTACTGTTGTTCGCCTGCATTCGGCCCAATGCCCTTCGGGAAGAACATTCTAGACGAGCTGGTCGATAATTCGAATACGCAGAGCGACCCGGCTCGAGGGGAGCAGCCAATGGAGAGGCGCCGCGATTATACTGACAGCGCGGTAGAGAAAACGCACGTGGCCGTCAGTGATTGGCTGGCTGTTGTTTTTGGCAGTGTAGGCAGTCCCAACGGTAGCGTTTGTGGGTAGTTGGTGGGCAGGAGAGTCTATGAAAGAATCAATACTATCTCAATGCTTTACCGCTTCCAACATCAAGGCGCGACCAAGTCTCCTCGAGCGATCTTCGACTCGCCTTCTGACGTCTATCTTTTTTCAGTTTCTCTGATGCAGTTGTTTTGACCGCAACTGCTTCAGGCTTTTTAGCTATTCCAAATCATTCTCTTTTGCGGCGAATACTTGCTCCTCCTTATTTGCCCATGATCAAATAACTTGAGAGGGCAACCGACGGCTTCCAAAAAGTCAATAACCGGTTGCCATGAGACCTAATTAAAAATCCTTGAAGCCGCACTTGCATATTAACATCGAGATTCTCCGGTGGTAGCGCCGGGCAAGTGGTTCGTCTGCCCGACCTTAGTTTGCTGCCCTGCTTCCCCGGCGCCGTAGGCGACAATAGACAAGAAAGCAGTCGTATTCGGCCCAATCTCGCGTTGAAGAGGGTGTCGAGACGACGTAGACATGCTTGTTACATTGTGTCTTGAGGCCCAGTCTCGAGACCGTGACGTGATCGGTGAGCGCCACTCCATCAAAATAACACCCTCGACCACAACCAACAGGATAGCGGGCCCGTGGTTCAATGGTGGAACTTTACATTTTACGACGAAGATCCCGGGTTCCAACCACAAGTGCTTCAGACCTGGGGCTGGGTATGACCGGCTGATGACGTCTAGTAAGCCGGAAACGGTCATTCCAGTCTCACTTGTCTATATCGAGACTCGATTATCTGCACATGTTAATAGTTACCATGCGACTACCTGCAAGGTCTATAAATAGAGTCCCAAGGCATCACGGGAAGAGCATATCCCAGTGGCCTGATGGATACACTTCTCGGGATGTGATATAACTCAAAAAAGGTGATGACTTGAACTGAAATGACTATTTTTAGGCACCTAAAACCTTGCGCATTTTGCTCATTCGCCTGGTCTCTTCTGAAAAGTGCACCTTTCTCGTGTACATTATGTGCCTAGATTATTTTATTAGACTAAATGGTCGAGAATATGCGCATCCCAGGTTCTTGTTTAAAAGAAGGCGAAGCACGATCACTGGGACAGTAGGTTTATTTGCCTGAGCTTTCGAACTCGAACTGGAGTTCATCATCAGAGGCTACTCGAGTGCAGCAAATTGTGAACATTTATATCGTTCATCCTTGCGGGAGGGGGAGGGGGAGTACGTCCGTGGCTAGGTAGGGTTTGTGCCGCCTGGTCCACGATGTTCCCCCGGCGCGGTGACGCCGTTTGTACTTCGCGACGGTGTGGGCTGCGCCACCTGGCTGCGTGGGCGGAACGCGTGATAACACGCAGGCAAATCGATGTGTCTGTTGATGGAGTTGGTGTCCGATATCGAATCCCGTTCCAAAACTCTCCTTGCCACTACACAGGCCAGACAGGACGACGTCTGAGCTTACGAATACTTGAGCACAAACGGGCCGTTCGGAGAGGCGACCCACTGTCTCAAGTAGCCACTCACACGCTCGAGGAAGGGCATGAGTTCGACTTCGCCAACACGTGGATATTGGCGCGAGCCAGCAACAAGACAGGGCGAGAGCTGTTGGAGGCGTGGGTGTCGGACACCACGCGCTCCGCCCACGCAGCCAGGTGGCGCAGCCCACACCGTCGCGAAGTACAAACGGCGTCACCGCGCCGGGGAAACATCGTGGACCAGGCGGCAGAAACCCTACCTAGCCACGGACGTACTCCCCCTCCCCCTCCCGCAAGGATGAACGATATAAATGTTCACAATTTTCTGCACTCGAGTAGCCTCTGATGATGAACTCCAGTTCGAGTTCGAAAGCTCAGGCAAATAAACCTACTGTCCCAGTGATCGTGCCTTCGCCTTCTTTTAAATGAGACTAAATGTTTATAAATTTGAGCTTAAATCTATGTTGCTGCAGAGTTGGGCAATTTCCTATGCTGACAGCCGTCCTAAACTGCGTTTGCTTGCATGGTCATTGAGTCTTATAGGCAGTACGCTCCTTATGCCTACAATACTTATTTTACATGCGAATGTCTCTGACGATGGTTTCCTGCAGGCATCCGAAACGTCGAGTCGATAGACTTTTTGTTCTAGCGACTGCGATTTCTCCTTCTGAAATGCATGCTTCGCCGCCATCCGTTCCTTTCCCTGTCCCCAAGTCCCGGCAACAAACGCGCAGGAAACTACTTTTTTAACTTGGAAACTCCTGATGATGGGAGAAAAATGTTGTGGTCCAATCGATTGCTAAATAGCGACAAATCTCTCTCAGGACAAAATCGAATTCTGTTCCTGTTTTCGTTTGCCCTCAGAAGAATAATTTCAGACCTGTCGCCCCGACCGTCGGAACTTCTGATACTTCGTTTTCACCAACACGTTGACAGTTACCGGGTTTCTTCAAATTACCTAGGCCACAAAGGAACTTGAATATGAGCGGGTATCATTTATTTATTTGTTCCTCTGCGAATCTGGAATTTTACATTGTAGCAGTTGATTGGTATGATTTAAGAAGGCTAGATCGTGTGTTATATCCTTCATAGTTTAAAGAAACTAGAATATGAATGGTTATCACTTGTCGATTTGTTCCTATGCGAATCTAGAATTTAATAATGTAGCTGTTGGTTGGTATGGTATGAAAAGGGCTAGTTCGTACGTGGTTTATTTTAAAGCGGGTTTAAGCATTTTTTGCGAATCATTGTTGAAAACCTGACTCATGTTTTTCAGCATTGTGGCAATAAACATCTATAAAGGCTATTTGCAAGTGTTAACAGACGCGATAGCTCTCATGTAAACGATGTTTGTGAGATATAATAACCGGTTTGCAGAAGATAATGCAGTTACAAACTCCATTTGGTTAACTGAATTCGGAAAATCACCAGCAGGCGTCTGATTTTCGCATGATCTTAAATTGCCGTTTTTTTCCGGATGTCCTTACGATCGTGATTACAGGGTCAAAAGCCCGTCTTAATCGAACGCCATCTGCGATAAGCCGAATGAGATCTCGCGCTCTTTGAGCTCCACTTACCAACGGTTTGCAGCGCGATTAAGATCGAGCCGTGATCGGAGTGGTAGTTTTACCTAACCTGGATTACCCTCTGATTTGTTAAGATGGCCAACGCTGAGCCGTCGGGGTCATAGAGAGAGGACTATTTAATCGTCGCCTTCCGCCGAGGGGATCAGATGAGCGACCGCCAAATGTCGATGTTGCAGGTGTTTGCGGGTCTTGCGCTCTGTGCTCTTCTTGTATGCTCGCAGCAACCGCGAGTGGAGACGGAAGATCTGGATCTAGACGACGTGGCCGAAATGCAACTGCTGATGGAGATCTTAGGAAAGGCCTCCACGACGCCGTCGGTAGACAGACTGGAATCACCAACGCCTATGCCAGCCGGTGGCATGTAATGTCAACTCTCAGTTGCGCAATCAACAGGGACGTAAAAGTTTATACCGCTACGTGCTTTTGATATTTAGCTTTTTCCCCACCCAAAATACATAATGCGTTGTGCATTTTGGTATTAACTTCATAACGTTTGAACCGTGGCAGTAGTCACTTGCCGCAAGGAAATTCTCTAATCGATGGTCAAATCCGGTTTATTTCCCTCGTTTTGTTTTGGCTGTCTGCAGAAGCCGAGGAAATAAGATTAATCGGGTGGGCTCGTCCACCTCATTGCACTTTGTTTAAGGATAAATGGGAGAGGGCAGGTAAGAGTCACCAGTTTGCCCAACTGACTACACCGGACGGACCAACGGGTGAACCACAGAGCTGAGTGGTGCACAGAGTGGAGGACGCATTACGTGGGAGAGAAAGGAGAACAGTCTTTTTGTGGCGGGAGCAGTTATTACAACAGAAATGGAGTCGGCCAAATTGTGGCATTAGGACATGTAATGTGGTCTCCTTCTGTAAAACAATTTTCCTTATGGTCTGAGCTAATAGTAAAGGCGTAACCCGACGCCGGCAAGATAATCCAACCTGCATTCCAACACAACACGTTTCAGAGATGCTTAAACTCTGTCTCAATAACTACTGCCATTTGTATGAAAAGTTTTATCAACAGGTTAGGGTTACACCAACGGGATCGCCAATATCAGGTCTACTAGCTGAACTAGTACTACAACGACTGGAAGAGGAAGTTATGCGAACCTTTAACCCAAAAATGTGGCTCCGATATGTAGATGATACGTTTGTTATCATGAAGACCTGCGAAATTGAACAATTTCATTTGAGTCTGAATAGCGTCTTCCCAGCTATCCAGTTTACTCGCGAAGAGGCAACAGGAGGCATTCTCCCGTTTTTTTGACGTTAGTATCCGAACGCTTAGTGATGGCGGCCTTGCAACGAGCGTCTACCGAAGAGACTCCAGTGCTGACGTCATTCTTAATTACGAAAGCAACCATCCTGCGGCTCATAAAAGGAGCTGTGTCCGAACCCTTTTCCACCGGGCTTATCGTTACTGCAGCAAAGATGAGTTACTTAAGAAAGAACTTGCTTTCCTGTATCGGTTATTCCGACTCAACGGATACCCGGTCAGTTTTGTGAGAAAAAAATTGTCTCAGACAACAGAGACAGACACAAGACGTTAGTTCTAATGAGGGACCCGAACAACGGAAATTCTACTCTTTACCCTACATGCAGGGTATTTCCGAGGCGATCGCCCGACAAATAACCGGTGTGGTATCATCATTGCCCACAAGACGGCGTCCTCCCTGCGCGCAACACTGTCTCGTGTGAAAGATCCTTTATCAAAAGAGCAGCAAACCAACGTCATCTACCAAATTCCGTGTGCTAACTGCTGTTGCGACTATGTTGGTCATAGAGGCCGACGACTTGGGACACGTATAAACGAACATAAACTAGGCATCCGCCGACGTGACCCTTTGTCGCTCGTGTTTGCGCACGCCCTTGAATGCGACCACCGCTTAAATTGGGAAGGAACTGAAAGTGTTGCCATGGCAAACACCAAACAGGCCCGAGAATTCCTCGAAGCCTGGCACTAATACAAATAGCATCAATCGCCATGTTGATCTGGACACCCATTACGAAGGTCTGCGTACTCGGCTCACTGACTTGCGCCCACGACCTAACAACAGCCGCTAATCCATACCAGGCCCTGTATAATCGGACTATTTCGCCACCTCCCTCCTTACCCCAGACACAGCGAACCGCAACGTAATCTCTAACACCTCTACGTTGGATCACTGACTCCTACCCGCATGCCGGATCGACGATCATTAAGTCCACCGTCCGAAGTCACACTGAATCGTCCTCCCCCCCGCAACAGTTCCCTCTTCCCTCCCCCACCATAGACCCTAGCCTAATTATGTCTCCATCCCCCTTTTCATTCATTAGCTGCTTACCTATTAGTGGCTGCCCTGTCACGCCAACCAATTGGGTGTGACCATTTCACTTTCTCCTCTGTTTATTTCGTCTGACGACGGGTTGGTGTCACCAGCTCGAAAATTCACGAGTACAACTCGGTTTTTTTCCGACGAGCCTGCTGTCTTCATATATGTATATCTATATTACCCAAGGTACTAAGGACAGGCGGATGCCAAAATTACAAAACGACGGTGTTTAAAGTTGAGAAACAAACCCCACGTGGCCTTTGCCGTCGGAAAGATCAAAAATCATGTCAAACACTAATCCGTAAACAAACTGCGACAATGACCAGGCACCGAGCTGGTGGTCAGAGATGGACCAATGAGTAGCCTTCCAATGCCTGCAGGTTTAAGTGTTCAAAGCGCGAAGCAGAAACGGCACTTGTCATGCAGTTACTGTTCGTTATCTTGACGGTTTCTGCCCTCTTCAGAGGCAGCCAGGCTTGCGGTGCGAGGGACAAGACGACCGAGTCGCCGCCTGGACGTCAGACGCCAGATGCACCCTATAAGTCAGGCCCAAAGGCCATTAACTGTCCCGGTTGCCAACCCATGCATGGGGGGAAAAGATCCCTGACAGATGAAGAAATCGCCGCCCCGGAATTTAGGAGTGTTGTGAACAGGAGCCTGATCGATCTGAAAAACCAGACCGGCGGCTGCATTGAATACGACCTGGTGGAAGTGAAGGAGGCCACCAAGCAGACAGTCACCGGCACAAAGTACGAGTGGAAAATGACGGTGCGTCCACGCCCTATCCCTTCAGCCATCGGCTGTCCTGTGAGCGACTGTGAGGGCATCGTTGACGGCTGCCAGACGCATCGCGAGTATATCAGCACCGCCTGGGTCCGTCCCTGGGTGAAGGATGGAAAAACGCACCAATTTACGCACACACGGATCGATGTCTGAGCGAGCTCGTATGCACTGTTGGAAGTTGTCTTTTTTGAATGTTCGCGTCGAACCACGGTATGGTTCTTAACGAATCAGGATGGTACTAAGCGCCCAATAAATCTCCAAAGCTGATAATATGATTTCTTATGTAGCGCATATTTTACTCATGGCTTATTCCCTCAAGTTTTCTGAAACTAAATGTCCATTTGTAGACTATTGGTTTCTGGATTCTGAATACGTGTGAACAAATTCCTATTTCTGACTTACTGTAGGTAACAATCGGGAGATGGCACCCAAAAAAAATCCACCTAACCAAAGCAGCCTGTCTTACGGGACAGGTGGTAATAGGAGTTTTATGGGTGATGGCTGGTGGGCATGTACGATACTAGCTGACAGAAAGCCTTTTTTGAACAGATGAATGATCGAAGTTGGCCCGCTCTCCGATCTGTTATTACAAAATGGGTCGCCAGAGACAGCATAGTGGTAACGGACGCGTGGAAGGCGTATAATCGTCTTCCCTCAGAAGGTTATCTCTGTTAACCATTCAAAGAACTTCAAAGACTCTACCACCGGACGGCACACCAATGCCACTGAGGCATACTGGAGTAGACTGAAAAGGAAATTCCACGAGGGAGGCCCTTTAAGTGGTCGAGCTGTGTGGGCTCACATAGACGAAGTACAGTATCATCTTTGGTTTGGCCTCAATGCCATGTCTTTGACAGATGCCTGGGAACTGTTCCTGTTCCATGTTGTGCAGACTTATTCTATTTAAAAGTGATTTTGTTTTTTAATAATCTGCCATAATGCGAATGTATGTCGTATATTCAGGTGTACGTGTGTAACGATGGGGAAGGTTGGGTAACAGCCACCATCGTCCATGTAACCTCCTGTGATGTTTGTTCGGCCAGCCCATGTTAGGCCGTCGCGGAAAGTCCAAGTGGTGCGTGAAAGTAGGCCTGCAACCGCTGATATAGCCTGAAGGCGTTTGAGTTCACTGTTAAAGGTATTATTTCTAGGTAACGGATTTTTTTGGGTGCCATCTCCCGATTGTTACCCGTGTGCGTGTTTGTGCACAAACTGGCCGCACGGTAGGCGCGCTAGACCAACACAGGGGCCATAGCGGATTCGGGCGGGTGTTATCGGAATTGCGCACCACAACAAATGCCAACGTTTCGGGATGCGGTGGCGCACCCGATTGCCGGCCTACGTCGCGCACACTGGGACCCTGCTACTCCCCCATAGTTATTGCGAATCGAAAACCTAGTTATTTGTTGTGTGGACCAGGGGGTGTGGGTTGGAACGCCAAGGTGTGGGCTCGAGCGTGCCATCCACCTGCGCCCCTCCCCGTCTCCGGTCTTCTTAACTTTGTCCTGACACGGGGTCCAGGCGGGGGAGTGGGAGAGTGTGCGATAGATGCTGTGCAATTCAACATTCACTATAAACTATAAACCAATGACTATTATTACCCCCACCCCCTCCCCCACAGTCCCCCACCCCGCCTTTGTTTAAGGAGTACTTTTATCGACTTCTCTTATCGCTTGCATGTTTTACTTCTACCCCGTTCCTATATAACTGTACTGGCCCGACGAGAATTTATCGAAAGCTACGTATGCTCGCCAACTCGTCTTCTGATTTCTGCTATGGGAATTTTCGCAACTCTAAAACTAAATTTTCGCAAAAGTCACCGTCCCTGCTCTCACCTTGCCGTGGAGCATGCGGTGGACATCGTCGGACGCAACGGTCGAACTGTCATGTTTTTGTGCGTGTGGGAGGGGGGTCTGTGTTGAGGAGTGTCGACGTGGCGGGAGATACTGGCATAGCACACTGTGAAGTGACGGTCTTAAGAGTCAGACTGGTGACATTTACGTTACCGGGATGGTTAGGTCACCGATTTCCGGAAGCCGACAGCGGACGAGGGAGAAAAAATAACTGCCGACCCGTAGGAACAAGATGAAGTTGAGTTACCAAAGGTATGGCTCTCCTTTTCCCCTAACGATGGGGGTCTTTAGTATGCAAGTTCCAGACCGGCCAATCATGACGTCAGTCAGCTTGATCTAGTCAGTTACAAGGGACCGTAGGTGCAGATGTTGTACAAGTCATCCTCGAACATCACATGTCGGTTACCCTGAGGAGGTACTGAGTCTCCTCGACAGTTCGACCGTCGTTGCCGATGATGTCCACCGTGTGCTCTATTGCAAGGTGAGAGCATGGACGGCGACATCTGCGTTAATTAGTGAATAATATAGTATACTTGCACAGCATCTACTGCACTCCCTCCTCTCCCACCTAGACCCGGTGTCAATGCAGAATCAAGAAGACCGGAGGCGGGGGAGAGCGCAGGTGGACGGCACGGTCGAGCCCGCACCTTGGCGCTCCACTCCAAAACCCCTGACCCACACAGCAAATGACCAGGTTTTTGACCAACAACAACAATGGGGGGCGACAGGGGTCCCAGTGTGCGCGACGTCTGTCGGCAACCGGGTTTGCCACCGCACCCAGAAATGTTGTCATTTGTTGTGGTGCGTAATTTCGATAACGCCTGACAGAATCCGAAATGGCCTCCGTATTTGTCCAGCGCATCTGCCACCTGGCCCCATTGGGGGCCGACCCCCCACACCCCACTTTCCTGCGCAGGGACGGAAATGGTCTCCTCAGAAAGTAAGATCACTTATTTTGACGCAAACAGGACTAACCTATTAACAACCGATGACCTGCACTGCAATAATATCCGCTGCTCACATCGGTGATTGGAGAGAGGTTGGTACATTGGAATGAATAAATGACCTATATATTCAGTTCAGTTTATTTGAGGAAAATGTAGGCACTGCACTTTGAACTCCCTATTTGGTTTACAAGCGTCGAGATTATACCAAAATCTGGGCGGCAAAAGCGTCAAACACGCATAGAAGAATAGTCGAAAATGTACAGATGGGCGAATTATTCCAAGTGTCAGAAACACTGGTACCACCAACTGCGTTCTACGGTAGTCAGTCTGTGCACAATTGTGCTCCAGAGAAAGTACTGCTATTTCAGTTGTCCGCAAGCGCTTAAGTGAATGGCGTCATGTGTGCGCAGGTGTTAAGGTAATAAGAAAATTCAAAAACAAACGTCACCGAATTGTAGGCAGTACCATTACAGCCTCAATTCGATATCGGTCAGGTGACATTATGATGTATAACGGTAGACTGAACCAGTTTCCCATCAAAAGCCTCAACGGATGTCCATATAACGATGTCTGCAGGCAGAGCACTCCAGGCCTCAATCCCTCTGTTGAGGTAAAACATGAGGACATCTATCACGAGGGCCTTCCCCGCGGCGAACTAGCGTGTATTGTTTGTAAACTGTCCCCTGTTATGTTTGGGGGGGGGGGAGGTAAGGACCGATTGCCGCTGCAGGCCACATCGATGTGGAGTGAGATATATTGGCCGTACAACGAGGAGTTTGGCTGCCTACCTGGCTAGGTAAAAGGGAAAATCGATCGATTTCCAGCTCAGTTCTCGCACACCTAATCGATACAAACCACCAAGTCGACGTCAAATGAGTCTCTCGAGTTATCTACCGGGCGCCAGCACAATACTCTAAAGGTCTACCCAAACGGGTACTAGCAACGACTGAAGCAGTGACTATTCGGTTAGCTGATCCAGTACTCTGTTGTCAGAGGACGTTGATTTAGGCGATCTGTTTTCTCTGGCCGACTCCAGGTGGTGATCGTACGCCGCCCCAACGTCCTGAGAACAGTCGAATGCACCCTCGTGCTTGACAAACAGACAGGCCTCACACCGTACCTGGAACCCCTCCCTTCATCCCTCCCTCCCTCCCCCTCCCCCCAGCCCCTACGTTCTTAACACGCTGACGCCGTCATTCAGACGGTGTGAGTATGACGAGTGTGGCTAACCCTTACCCCAGAGACACATAAACCCTGTCCATAGCTGATAATTTCATTCTCCATGTAACAGTAGTGGCCAAATGGTAAATTAACGAAAATATGTATTTACCAATTGACTTTCTTATCATATTTCTTTAGAAATCGAATAAAGAGATCGAGATTGGATAACCGTGATTCAGGGGGCACTGTGCCCTGTCCACTAATGAGTCTGGCCTCACCCCTTCGAACTTCTTCCAGGACCTTGAGGTTCCTTGCGGTCTAAGGTTTTTACGCTTGAATAACGAACTCCAATTGTGGCCTCACAAACGTTTGAAAGGCCTCAGCGAAGCAGTCTCCATCGAAGGTAGAGAAAGCCCGCTTGACAGGGTACAGTGCTGACATTGTGGAGTTTGCTACGTTTGAATAGTGTAGCGGCGGTTTAAGTGACATCGTGATCCACACATCCACGTCTTTATAGGCGTCTTCCTCATGCCACGGCATGTCATTGAGGTGATAAGACCTGCAGTTTGGCGATCTGACCCCGCTGAATCGCAGAATGTTGCACTTGGTTATGTTGAGCTGCGTAAGACAGTCCTGAGATCATTTATCGAGTCGGTTCGGGTCGGCCTGCCAACCCTCGTCGTCTAGATCACACCCGTGTTGAGGGAAGGGTATCTCGAGTGTTGGAAATCCTGAATTAGGTCTGAACACTGGTCAGACAGATCAAATATGTCAACCAGATTTGAAATATTTCGAGGAAGCCAATGAAAAAAGTACATAAAAGCAGATCAGACTAGAGAAGAGCAGAGTTCACGGAATGAAAACTTCGTAAACTCTAGTATGTGAACGACAGAAACTCAGTAAAACTTGACACAAGACCTCCCTCTCCCGGGCACCAGTTCGCTGTCCGAGCCAATTAGCCATCGGATGTGTGAAACCCGAACGTTTTGTGTGTAAGTCCGAGCAATGTGTAGCACTGAAAGACGAGTTAATCGGCCGTCTACCACTTGCGACTGGTCTGCGCATCAGATGACTAACCGACTCGGAGAGTGGAGTGGTGCCAGGGAGAGGAAAGAGAACATGACGCCCACCCTGTGGACGAATTCCTCACGGAACACAGCGCATATTCCTCACTACGATATAAATGACGCTCATGTGTCTATTACAGTACACCAAAAGTCGTCGCTTGTTAACAATCGAGATAACTTGGGTCTCCTCTCAAAACCAAGAGTCAGGCTGCATCGGCTGCTTCTGAATGTGGCCTCTATTGCAGTCCCGTTCAGTTAGGATTCAGTGAAAACCCGTCACATCGTGCGCGAACCAGGTATGAGTGGTACGCGTGGGCGAGTTGTTTATCTCTGTGAGCCATTGCGTCTGATTCCGCCTACGGTCTTCTTGAGTCTATCTTGGTGAAGAAAGAGAGAAAGAGTGTGTGCAGTGGATGTATCAAAAGTCTCCTAATACGATAAACTCATTCATGCGAATCGACCTCCCTGCTTTCACCCTGTTGTAGGGCGTACGGCTTGCGACGTTTTATCTGTCAGTGGATGCGAGGGATTATGCATCCCAACCTAAGACTCCGCTTGCGCATGTGCCTAAACAATAAGTTTGGAAATTTTACATGTCTATCGTAAGTGAAATTACATCTGATCTATCTGCATGCTTTGTCCTACCTTCTTTACTTTGCCCTTGTTCGTCTGAAATTGTTTTGTTCGTTTGACCATGAGACGGAAGGTCACCCCCTTTGTTGATAGAAGCGAGCAGACGAGTCCCAGGTAGCAGTTCAGAAGATGAAGATGCGATCACTGGAACAAGAAGTTTATTTGCCTGACGTTTCGGATTCTCACTCGAATCCATCATCAGAGACATTCGCAGATAGAGGTGAAGGTGGCACCAGGAGTGCAGTATTTATAGCACGTGGCTGCCGTGGGACCGTATGCGCACTGCAATTAACAGTTCTCGCAATCGCCGCTGGGGTCGTAATTGATGCGGCGGTGGCTTGACGGTCCGAGTCCGAGTCGTTAATGGCCGCGATTTCGTCATCCGTGCCGGATGCTGGTGTGACGATTGCTCGGCAAACTGGCTCACTGTTACCGTGATAATTGCTCACCCGCGCCCTCCTCACGTGACTGATTCTCCTGCCCAGGCAAAATCGCAATACGAAATAGGGTACCGGGAGGTCATTGTGTTTGTTGATGGATTGCGGGCCTGAGAACCATGACTCGAGCAGCTCGCGGCTCACGCGGTTGTCACCCCTTGCGAGGATTTCGGCCTCTTGAAATTTGAAAATATGGCTGGGTCCCGTCGAGTGTGCCGCCACCTGAGAGTTAGCGCCTCTCCGCCTCACTGCTGCTGCGTGCTCGGCAAGTCGCATACGGAGTAATCTCCCAGTTTCTCCGACATAATTGCTTTGTCCGCAACTACACCAGATCCGTTAAACGACTCCAGACGTTTCCTGCCGTGGCAGCGGGTCTTTTGGCCTCATGACTTGGCGCCTAATGGTTGCTTCCGGCCTATGTGCAACCCCAACTTCAAGTGGAGTGCGAAGACGACTGACGGCTTCCGAGACGTTCTTCACGTACGGAAGAGCCCGCCAAAATTTGGGGCTAGTTGGATTTGGTCTCTGGTGTCCTTTTTGTATGCACTGGTTGACAAAGTTGCGCGGGTAGCCATTAGCTCTCATTGCCCGTCTAAGATATTGTAGTTCAGCAACCTTGTCTTCTTTTTCACTGCAGTGCGTCTCAACGCGCCGGTATAGCGCCCTTACGCAACTGCGTTTGTGACTGATCGGGTGGTTGCTATTGAAGTTCAGTATTTGCGTCGTATTTGTCGCTTTCCTGAACACTTTGGTTTTTAGGCCACCACAATCTTTGCGGCAGACGAGGACATCCAGGAAGGCCAGCTGATTGTTTTCCTCCTCCTCCTCCATCGTAAATTGAATGTCCGGGAAGACGGCGTTGAGTTGTTCTTTGAAAGTCAGCACCTGATCCCGTTCGATGACGACGAAGGTTTCATCCACATACCGAGCCGAGAATTTCGGTCTGTGGTGTCGGAAAACCAGCGACTTCAGCCGTTGAAGGACCGCCTCGGCTATGAGTCCCGGCTCGGCTATGACAACCGCGTGAGCCGCGAGCTGCTCGAGTCATGGTTCTCAGGCCCGCAATCCATCAACAAACACAATGACCTCCCGGTACCCTATTTCGTATTGCGATTTTGCCTGGGCAGGAGAATCAGTCACGTGAGGAGGGCGCGGGTGAGCAATTATCACGGTAACAGTGAGCCAGTTTGCCGAGCAATCGTCACACCAGCATCCGGCACGGATGACGAAATCGCGGCCATTAACGACTCGGACTCGGACCGTCAAGCCACCGCCGCATCAATTACGACCCCAGCGGCGATTGCGAGAACTGTTAATTGCAGTGCGCATACGGTCCCACGGCAGCCACGTGCTATAAATACTGCACTCCTGGTGCCACCTTCACCTCTATCTGCGAATGTCTCTGATGATGGATTCGAGTGAGAATCCGAAACGTCAGGCAAATAAACTTCTTGTTCCAGTGATCGCATCTTCATCTTCTGCCACCCCCTTTACTTGAGACTGTTCTCCTACACGCGTAAGGCCAATGCTTGCGAACGAATAGTTTATTGGCGTTAGAATTCGGTCGATCCATTTGTTGCACCTGGGCATCCACTGACGTGGTTTGTACTCTGTCTATTCTTAATTACTTTTAGATGGTACTGTACAGAGAATCAGCCTTAGATTTCATTTTAAGTTGGCATCTGTGTTAGTCCAGAGTACCCAATTTTCTCCTAAACCACATTTATGTCCGCTTAGCTCATCTGGACTCGCAATTAAGTATGATTTCATATAAACAGTTTGAGATGCCATCCGTAGACACAGCGGCTCTGGTCGTCATATCCGAGAGGTTGGCTGTAGGCTATTCGAATCCTTACTGGTCCAACCTCCTCTGTGGTGGACTTAATCTGGCAAGGATCAAGTGAAGACCTCCAAGTATCCACGGCGCACAAATAATGTCTACTACACATGTCTAAGTAGGTCATACCATACTCGATACTTTCGTACACGTGTTTGTTTATCGCAGACTATTACATTCGATTGGAAGGCTATCATCTGACTTCCCGTTGCATAAGCCAGCATGACCTTAGCTCAGAGAGCTGAGAAACGGCCGCCGCACTTTACTCCTTTATCGCTGATCATGCCCTTCGCATTAGCATAACCTGCCATTGGAAGCGCTGTGATGCTTCAGGCAGCAACCTGTCGAATGAGTCGCTCATCATAGATCTCAGTCCATACCGTTGGGAAGTCGTCAGACTTAGCCTTAACCACCATCGGCTGCGCAATTACCACCATTTCCGTAAGGCAGGCGGCTCTGGTTACTTAGTGATACTTGGGGGCTTTCATTAGATCCTTGCCCTTAATCCTTACAGTAGACCTTCTTAAGGCTCAGTTTGCCGGTAGATGCGATTGTGGGGATGTAGCTGCTAGACTGAACCTGGCTTCTGGGGGGGGGGGGGCGCAGATGTGAGCTGGGTATCGGCCAAAAGCTGTGCATAGCGGTCATCGCCTGTATGCGGCATCTATAGACGGTGTAGCCCCTAGCTGGATTCCCCTACAACTCACTACCCACTGCCAAGGCCTGACTGAACAGCGTGCATTTCGTTGACTCGAAGCTTGGCTCTTGTGTTCCCATTGGCGTGTGTGTAGAGGCTGGCCACTGGGTCAGGAGTAGATAGCTCGCATACAGGCCAGTCAAACCCGATCAGAGCAATAAGCTGGGGTCACACTGCGAGTTTGATGTGCCGTGGTGTATCTTGGTACTTTCTGCGTTGTGGTGAATCCCTACACGTGATGGTCGCATTACAGCGCCTCTTGTTTGCAACAATGGGCTAGACTTTGTTTCGAATTATGACGTTCCAGGTATGTTAGACCAGTGTTCTGGGGTAATCTCGATTTTCGAATACTATTCTTTCTGTTATGCAGCCATGGAACGCCATTGATTATGCACCACGCAACTATTAGACGTCCCTCAACTCTGCCCCTTTGAGGAACATCTTTTTTCACAAACTAATGCCTTGATGGATACTCTGGCAAATCATCTTTCGATGCCACGCTTGTGACTTACAGTAGATGTGCTAACTCATGAAATGTCAACCAAAATTTCGAAATGCGTTCTCGTTTCGAAAAGATAAATCAAGTAGTGTTGTAAAACTAATCATGATGCAGCATAAATCTATAATGATCCAGTTACCTCAGGGTGTCGGCTTTCAAAAGAACTTATTTTTGGCTGCATGCAAGATCTATACTCTGCAAGAAATGACTACTTTAGTGGCATGCAATTTTCTCATTGATTTTCAATCCCCTTGAAAATTCAATTATATTTCATGGAAAACATGCATAAAAATATTCATTCTTTTAATTATTCGGTAGAAAATCACGTCTTCTTTCAATTTCATACTCAAAAGAAGAGTATAATTCGGTTTTAAAAAACTTTTCTAATTCCCGAATAATTTTGAACCCGACCTGCTGTTACACTTGCATTCAGGGTTTCAAAACTACAAGCTGTATATTTTCCGTGTACGGAAAACCATGCATTTCTCTACGGTGTTAAGAGGAGACCATATGGGGTTCATAAAATTAAGCAGTGGATTTGAGCAATATTGTTAACTTTACAAGCCACATTCGTAAATGCAGATACATGACGTTTCATGAACGGCCATTTAACGGTATTAAAAAATCTCATAATTAGAAACTTTTTTGAAAGCATATTATACTCTTCTTTTGAGTATGAAATTGAAAGAAGACGTGATTTTCTGCGGAATAAGTCAAAGAAGGAATATTTTTATGCATGTTTTCCACGAAATTTAATTGAATTTTCAAGGGCATCGAAAGTCAATGAGAAAATTGCATGCCACTAAAGTAGTCATTTTTTGCAGAGTATAGATCTTGCATGCAGCCGAATATAAGTTCTTTCGAAAGCCGACACCCTGAGGTAACTGGATCATTACAGATTTATGCTGCATCATGATTAGTTTTACAACGCAACTTAATTTATCTTTTCGAAGCGAGAACGCACTTCGACATTTTGGTTGACATTTCATGAGTTAGCACATCTACTGTAAAATATAGTCGTCCAGCTAACAAGCCGCAGTACGTGTCCTCGGACGTCGTGTTGCATTTCGGAGATGCGATTAAGCACAAACAGGTAGGTGTTTTCACTTAAACTCCTGTCTGGCGAGAGTGCGGGACATGAGTTTAACTTTGTTTTGCAGGTAGAGGAACCTGCCGCATGTCACTTGGAGATCAAAAACCGAATTAGACAGGTCCTGTAAACAAAATGCGATTCTGGATGTGCAGAGAGTCGGTGTTCACAGGTAGACCAATGGCAGTCCTTCAGCGCCTGCGCTATAAATTCTCAACTTCAATCCATGCGATACTGGCAGCCCTTCAGCATGCAGTCACTGCTCGTTCTCCTGACTACTTTCGCCTTTTACAGAGGCAGCCTGGCTTGCGGTGCGATGAACACTACGACCGAGTCGTCGCCTGGACGTCCGACGCCAATTGCACCCTATAGGTCAGGCCCAAGACCCATTGAATGTCCCCGTTACCAACCACTGCATGGGGCGAAGAGAACCATGACAGATGAAGAAATGGCCACCCCGGAATTTAGGAGTCTTGTGAACAAGAGTCTGATCGATCTGAAAAACCAGTCAGGCGGCTGCTTTAAATACGACCTGGTGGAAGTGAAGGAGGCCACCAAACAGATGGTCGCCGACACGAGGTATGAGTGGAAGATGACGGTGCGTCCACGGCCCATCTCGTCAGACAGTCAGTGCCCCGTGAGTGTCTGTGATAGCATGACTGAAGATTGCAAAACTGAGCAGGAATTCAAAACCTCCGCCTGGGTCCGTCCCTGGGAGAAGGACGGGAGAACGCACCAATTTACGCACACACATACCGATGCCTGAGTGGGCTGGTATTCACTAGAGACACGGTTACTGTCGAAACGCGATGCAACCAAGTACCTGATACAAAAGCGCTCGCCTATATTTCCCTTAATAAACTGATACTGATATACTGATACATCGAAAATTTAAAACAATAATCATCCATATGGCATGAGCTTTCTCTCACGTCTGTGAAAAATATACATATACGCACACATAGTTGGTGACCTAACCGGGTGAAAGGTGTCAGAATTTACGAATGATTACTAATCACTCGCAAACCGGCACCAATCAATGGACCCACTATCTGTATTAACATGTAACAACTTCAAGAGAATTGAGGGCGTAAAAGAAACATTGAAGGTAATGTTTGGTTGCTTAGAAATATCATCTTTTCAGAAAAGCGAAAGGGTGCAAGAATGCCAAAAATGGTTGTGATCTAATAAACTTTCGTTTTCGATGTGCAGAAGGCCTGTGTATGCAAAAAACCGAGGCAAATATCACAGCGCAAATAGAATAACGTTTGGCAAAGGTTTATTAATGAAGTTTCCATTAAAATACATTTTAGGAATTTGTATTAGGTCATGTATGATGTGAATTTAATGCCCGGCATTGTTGAGTTGATCGTGTTGTGGAGCGTTTCCAGTTGATTCTTTTTAACGATCACAAATGTGTCGTCCACATATCGCAACCACAACTTGGGGTTACCTGATGGAAGAGCCGTGACCTCCAGTTTTTGCATAGTAATCTCGGCGAGGAAGACTGAGATAGGTGAACCCATTGGGGCTCCTTTCAGCTGTTGGTAATACTGTTGGTCGAACGAAAAATTAGTTTTCATAGAAGGGTCTATGAGTTCGAGTAAGACATCAGAGGGAATATCCGTGTCATAGGATTTCAGGAGATCCTCTGCTTATTGTTTTGTCAAATCCAGTGGTATAGACGTAAAGAGGTAGACGACATTGAAGGAGACCATTATCTCGTCGGCAGAAACTGTGATTCCTCTTAATCTCTTTAGAAACTCTGTTGAGTTCACTATCGAAGGTTCACAATTCTTCGTGAGTGGATGAGGTTGGTGGAATAGCCACTTGGAAATCTTGTAGATGGATGTCCCGATTAACGATACAATCGGTCGCAAAGGCAATTCAGCTTTGTGGACTTTTGGTAGTCTATAGATCCTAGCGATGGTGGGCTCGGTTTGTTTCAGATACTTAGATATGTCTCACGACATTTGTTTTTTCCCTTTGAGGCGTTTCGGCACTTTATCAAAAGATGAAATTTGTGCTTTGGTAGGGTCCGCGGAATGTGGCTTATAAGCTGACCTATCTTTTAACAACGATAACACCTTTGTTTTATAGTCCGCTATATTAAAAATCGCAATTGAGCCGCCTTTGTCAGCTGGGAGAACGATGGTGTTTTTGTTAGTTCTCAGGGTTTTTAACGCTTTCTGTTCCTCATGCGATAGTATTGTAAACTGATTTCGACCCTTTAGGGCGTTTACAGTTGTATTTTGGATTGTGAACCGTTCGTCTTCTGTGAGGTCTGCGATTGTCATGATGAATTCCAAGCTTGCGGGGATGGGGGAGAGGTGGGCGCTCACCGATCAGGTTACGGAACGTGCCTGTTGCTTTGCGCTTTGGGGCTCAGTAGTTAAGGGTGTTGGACTCCTATTTAATAAGTTGCGGGATCGTGTCCCAAGTGTTTCACACTTCGGGTTGGATACCACTGGCTGACGATGGCTTATAAGCCAGAAATTGCCATTTCGGTCTCTCTTATCTTGGTTAGTAATTCCATTCTGCATATACGTATGCTTCAATTGGGAAGGAACTGAAATCGTTGCCATGGCAGACACCAAACAGGCCCGAGAATTCCTTGAAGCCTGGCACTCTAACACAAATAGCATCAATCGCCATGTCGATCTGGACGCCCATTACGAAGGTCTACGTACTCGGCTCACTGACTTGCGCCCACGACCCAACAACAGCCGCTAATCCATGCCGGGCCCTGAATAATCGGACTATTTCGCCACCCCCCTCCCTACCCCAGACGCAGCGAACCGCAACCGTAATCCCTAACACCTCTACGTTGGATCACTGACTCCTACCCGCATGCCGGATCGACGATCATTAAGTCCACCGTCCGAAGTCACATTGAATCGTCCTCCTCTCCCCTACCTTCTAACAGACGGAGCCGCAACAGTTCCCCCTTCCCTCCCCCACCACAGACCCTAGCCTAATTATGTCTCCATCCCCCTTTTCATACATTGGTTGCGTATCTATTAGTGGCTGCCCTGTCACGCCAACCAATTTGGTCTGACTATTTCAATTTCTCCTCTGTTTATTTCGTCTGACGACGGTTTGGTGTCACCAGCTCGAAAATTCACGAGTACAACTCGATTTTTTCCGACGAGCCTTCTGTCTTCATATATGTATATTACCCAAGGTAATAAGGACAGGCGGATGTTAGAATTACAAAACAACGGTGTTTAAAGTTGAGAAACAAACCCCACGTGGCCTTTGCCGTCGGAAAGATCAAAAATCATGTCAAACACTAATCCGTAAACAAACTGCGACAATGACCAGGCACCGAGCTGGTGGTCAGAGATGGACCAATGAGTAGCCTTCCAATGCCTGCAGGTTTAAGTGTTCAAAGCGCGAAGCAGAAACGGCACTTGTCATGCAGTTACTGCTCGTTATCTTGACAGTTTCTGCCCTCTTCAGAGGCAGCCAGGCTTGCGGTGCGAGGGACAAGACGACCGAGTCGCCGCCTGGACGTCAGACGCCAGATGCACCCTATAAGTCAGGCCCAAAGGCCATTAACTGTCCCGGTTGCCAACCCATGCATGGGGGGAAAAGATCCCTGACAGATGAAGAAATCGCCGCCCCGGAATTTAGGAGTGTTGTGAACAGGAGCCTGATCGATCTGAAAAACCAGACCGGCGGCTGCATTGAATACGACCTGGTGGAAGTGAAGGAGGCCACCAAGCAGACAGTCACCGGCACAAAGTACGAGTGGAAAATGACGGTGCGTCCACGCCCTATCCCTTCAGCCATCGGCTGTCCTGTGAGCGACTGTGAGGGCATCGTTGACGGCTGCCAGACGCATCGCGAGTATATCAGCACCGCCTGGGTCCGTCCCTGGGTGAAGGATGGAAAAACGCACCAATTTACGCACACACGGATCGATGTCTGAGCGAGCTCGTATGCACTGTTGGAAGTTGTCTTTTTTGAATGTTCGCGTCGAACCACGGTATGGTTCTTAACGAATCAGGATGGTACTAAGCGCCCAATAAATCTCCAAAGCTGATAATATGATTTCTTATGTAGCGCATATTTTACTCATGGCTTATTCCCTCAAGTTTTCTGAAGATAAATGCTCATTTGTAGACTATTGGTTTCTGGATTCTGAATACAAGTGAACAAATGCCTATTTCTGACTTACTGTAATCTAGATTAATAACGTGTTGTGAAGCAGCATTGCGGTATCGAAACCGTATTAATACTTACTTTGGTAGGACTGGCTTGTGTGGACGTCTAAACAGGACATGATAATGAGAACCACTTGAAACACGGGCGGCTTTGAGCCAACTACCTGATAAATTGGGGTTAGGGTTAAGTTAAAGATAAGGTTTAAGGTTAGATTTAAAGTTAACGGTAACGCACGCAAGGACCACGTTTAGGGCTAGAGTGGGGGCTAGTTTTAACTGCGGATATAGGGTTTAGGGTCGAGATTAGGGCAGTGGCTCAGTTTTATATTAGGGCTAGTGACGGGGTTGAAATAAGGGAAAATTTTGCCCTTTCTACAATTGTACGCAGGTTTAACATTATCACTTGAGCGGTGTCTTCCTGTTTCCATGCCCTGTTTAGACGTCCACATACGTCAGTCCCACTCTTAAGTTTATAAATATATGGCTCATCCTACCTTCACGCCGTGGACGATTACGCATTCGATAAACCTGCATGTAAAACTAGTCATGCAGTATATTTACGGAATTGCCAGCGTGCATGGAACCGGTTGCTTTCCTCAAAAATGACGGTAAACTAAGACGCCTGTTAAGGTGGAGGAATGGGTCGCAGGAGCAGCAGTTGCAGGATCTCACTTAACATCACGCAAACCAACTTTGAGTATGCCTAAGAAACGTTCTTGGCGGATTGATAAAATCCATTGACAGCAAGTCTTTCGATTGCTGAACTTACCAGTCAGGGGATTAATGGAGTGGCGTAACTGTCTGTCAGTATGTTCGCAGCTTACTTCAGTCTGAGGCGATCATGAGAAATATCATCTGTCGTGTATGCCCAATAACAACTTTTTGTTGATGTCTCGTCTAAAGAGGCCATAAGGGTGACAGTTTTTAATTTGCTTACGTTCGAATAACGTAAGGCCGTTCAAAGAGCCCGCGTCGCATGTAAAGGCGATCGAACCCCTCTCGGTTGTGCAAGACATCTCAGATTGTGCAAGTGGGTTTAGCGGAGATGAATGAGGTTAGCAGTTGCAAGGCTAATCAGATGCCATAGCGACATCTGAAGAGGCCGGCACATAAACCCTCAGTCCACTTAATAGACAGCTAACGTTTCGTGGACCCGAGGTTTGCCTGCCCTGTTCTCACTGGTGTGTTAACAGGCGGGTCAATGCTTCGGAGGAGGACAGTTTGCGTTCGGAGAGTCGAACCCGATCAGGGCAATAATCTGGATCACACCGCAAGTTTGGTATTTCATGGCGACTTCTGTTACTTTCACAGCACTGGCGAATACGTACACCGGATGCTTGCATTCCCGACCCCATTTACATGCCGGTATGGGGTGGACTTTGTTTTGCATTTGGCCAGTTCCCTGGACTGATTCTAAATTTTAAATACTATTACTTCTGTTATGCGGCGGTTCCAGTGCCAATGCATGCCATTCATGATCCGTGTTCTCCGCATTTATCGCAGTGGTGCGATATTCACTTAACTGATCGCAGTCGAGTCGTCAGTTGTCAAAATTGAATCGCACGTGTGGGTAACTAGGCCGATTGGCCTACCGGTAACGGCACCGCGAACAGCGCTTGCCTGTGCGTGCTACCGTCCAGCCGCGCTGTAGCGGCCGAGGACGTCAAGGGTAGCACACACCAGAGTAAGGAGACGCCAAGAAGAGATCCTGGCGGAGGTGGACCTGAACAGAACTGTTAACATCTCTCGAAACTCGTTCACACGCAGAAGAAGAGAGTACGTCGAGTATGGATATAATGCAATGGAACAACACAATATGGTGAATGTATATAACAAATGTTAATGTGCACGTGCAACGAGGAACAGCGGATAGGTGACCTGTCTGGATGGATAGAAGACCCTGAGATACTAGCTAAACAGCCGGTGGGGATGCAGCGCTGTGGGCAACTGCAGGGAAGGGTCGAAGGGGAGCCGACGTTGAGTGAGAGAGCGAGAGAGAGTCGAGAACGACGGTTCGTTGCGGGAGGGGGGTCGGCGGTAGCGAGAGGAGGGGACACCGGCCGTCTTCACCAGCACGCAGTTACGCCATCTCCATCCCAGGTCCGCGCGCCAAAAGTGACACGACATTCAAACTATTCTGTTCGTGCCAAGGGGCGTTACAGCGTGACAGCCATGCCAAACACCAGTGTCGTTCAACCGCATCGAAGGAGGATTCTTCCTCCACCCCCCCCCCCCAGATGGTCAGAATCACGTA